AAGAGAATAGCGTATGGCTGTGAAATTTTGTTTCCTGCTCAAGAAAAATGCCACAGAAACCGTTGTGATGTTGAGCACAGCTGACAAGGACAGCCCTAGGGGAAAACTCACATGTTCCAGTGGTTTTCTCATTTCATGAAAGGTGAAATGTCAGTTGATGACGAAACTCATTCTGGACACTTGTCAACTTTCCGAACAGAGGAAAATGTCTACTCATAGTGCATTTGGAGTTCATTCTACCAGGTCAGACTGTTAATCAAGCTTTCATTTAGAGGTTCTGAAAAGATAGCGTAACAGTATGTGACAAAAAAGGCCTGATTTGTGGCAGATGGGGGACTGGTTTTGCTACCACAACATGCACCTGCTCATGCAGCAATCTCAGTGAGCTTGTTTTTGGCAAATAATAGCATGCCTCTCTTGCCTCACAAACCTGACTCACCTGACCTAGCACCGTGCGACTTCCTTTTGTTTCCACAATGAAGAGGGACTTAGGACAGCCATTCGACAGCATAGAAGAGGTGAAGAAAAAACGAAGGAGGTGCTGTCAACCATCAAAACAGATGATTTCGAAACATGTTTCCAAGAATGGAATCCCAGGTTCGACAAATGTATTAAGTTTAATGGAGAGTACTTTGAAGGCGATAAGTTGCTTTTATAAAAAAAAAAAATTTAAAAAAAGCAATGAAAAAAAATCCCATTTGCGGGGAGTACCCCCTTGTATATCTTGGCAGGCAAGGTATTCCACCAATTCAGGGAACAAGTCATTCATACTCATTCATCTCTGGAAGTCTTTGAAAATTGTGCCTTATGCACACTTGAAAAATCAATTCCTACAACCTCCCAAAATTACCTGATGGGTACTAAGGAGCTTTGCTATAGCAACTAGCTTACACATTATCAATTTGAAGAGTAACATCTATTCCGTAACATGAACAAATTAAGTTATATAACAATACTAGATGAAGGAAACATGTAATCTGCTCATTTCAATCTAAGAATAATAGAAATAGTTATGTGAATCTTTTCTTTAAAAACAGTGATGATATTCTACCTCAGCATGTAAATGTTTTTAAGATGCAGATTAATTTAAAAGAGATGGTTTGTAAAACTTCGCAGTTTTATATCAACTTCCCCAGTAGACTTCGCAGGAGAATTCAGAAAGTCTCTGGTTGCAATGTTCCTGTTTCTTATACCAGAGGTGCTGTTGAGTAAACGTAGGGCTGCTGATCACAATGTCAGCAGTTCAGACCCAAGCATCTTGTATCTTCTACCAGCAGAACCCAACGCGCTGAAAGCAACGTACTATCGAGTAAGATACAATCTCAGCTACTTCACTGATCTTGACAAGCAGGTATTTCAATTAGTCCAACACATTAATTGTCCTTTAGCAGCAAATACCTCTTTTTAAATAAACCCAATCTGCTTAAATTCAGGTCACTTTCAACTAAATATCTTTCATGTATAATCTATTTATTTTGAATCTTTATCCCATTTTCCCTGTTATATTTCTGAAGACTACTAGAGTTGCCAAAATTATTTTTAGTAATCCCTACTGAAGACTGCTTGGCACCTCATATATTTAAAGAGCTTTCACTAAAAGATAAAATTAATACTTTCCATTCTTATAAATCATACACTTTACCTTAAAGCCTATAGTTTTTATAGGTAGTAGAGTCTGTTGTTTAAATAATCACGACATCTCTTGAAACCATTTGAAATGTGTATTAATTTTTATATGTATACTGTTGAGTGCTCTAGAGAGAATGCTGTATGTAGCAGAGAAGTACTAGATTAGAGAGAATAATGAAGAAGTAGTGGAGCCAGTCTTTCAGATCACCGCCCAGCTCGTAACCGCGGCTCCACCAGAGCTCCTTAAAGTCAGACTTCTCACCAGTGAGGTACAGAATCTAGGACACAGAACTCTACATTTGTTAGAGAGACTCGCTCAAATACAATTTGGATTTATTTTAATTGATAATTTAATTGACTAGCATCTTTTTTTTTTTCATTTTTGTTAATGTAGTTGTTTTAGGGTTAGGAATTTTCCTTTAGTGATTGCTTTAAATATTTCACATTGATTTTGGTATGTCGTGTTCACTTACCATTTTCAGAAATCATGACATTTCTGTTTATATTTCTCCCTTTCTGAGAGTTGTTTAATTGAAATAGTCTTGGTTCTTTTTTTTTAATTTCAGGTAGATGGGTCATATTGCTTGTCTCTTTTTCCTTTAATTTTTTATTTTGTAACCACTAACATGATACTACTGATAATATTTTTACCTAGTATAAAATTATAATTTATTTTAAAATATTACATGTGTTCCTATGGGCATAATTTCTAATATCAGGATATATCATTTTAAGTAAATCCTAAATAGCTAGACATTATTTCATTAAGATTTTTTCAATCTTATTTTTGTTTGATTTTTTACCTTTTGAATTGAAAGTGATATTTCAAAAGTCACCTAGCCATGTATTTCTGTTTCTTCTTCATCTCTTACAGTTTCTGCTTTGTCATTTAGTAGTGGCTATATTTTATGCACTGTGTTCATAAGTGTAATCATTATGAAGTTTGGGTTTTAGCATTCTAAAGTACCTAACTTTGGACCACTGACAGTTTCTTCCCGCTGAATTCTTTTTTGTCTGATACCAGAATTTCAGCCTCTGCTTTTTCATTGTTCCTGCTTATTTGGTGTATCTTTGCCCATTTCTTTTTTCAGCCTGTCTGAGTTGCTCTGTTCTTTGTGTATCTGCTATAAGAATGACGTGAGAGGCTATCAAAACAGAAATTTCACATTTGTTCCATTGAAAACCCTCCCTCACCCACTGCCATAGAACTAATTCCTATGTATAAAAGACCCTAATAGAGTTTACAAGACTTTGGAAATCTTTATGGGAGCCACCAGACTCATATTGTTTTCCTATGGACTGGCTGGTGGGTTTGAACTGCTAGCCTTGCCCTTAGCAGCCCAGTGTATAACTCAACTATAGTCACAGGGCTCCCTGGAATTCATATCAAGCTTAAATTACAGTTTTCTACCTTTAGTAGAATTTTCTTTAAATTCCCCTTTTACATCTTTCATATAGAGGGCAATCTTAACACATTTTTATCACTCATTCTAGTAGAAAATATTTGAGTTTCCTTTCTCTGACAGGTTCCCTCCTTAGCCAGGTTCTGCTGTATTTTAAGAGAAGCTTTCAGAAAGTACATGAAATGTGTGATCATGTAATCATTGTCAGCAGTTTTATTTCTTTTTTCTTTTCTGTTTTTTTAATTACTGTATATACTCGTGTATAAGCCGAGTTTTCAGCACATCTTTAATGCCGGTTTTGTGGTAAAATTAGGTGCGTCGGCTGAAATTTGGGTCGGTTTATACGTGAGTATATATGGTATGTAAAATATATACGGACAAATTAGTCTCACTTTTGTGGCAGACATTTGAATATTCTGTCTTCTATGAAGTCCTATTATAATTAGTTGTTTTTTGGAGATTAGTTTTGAACTCTTTCTTGATTGATTCATTTGTAGCCTTAAGTATTTTTTAGTTGATACTTTATGTTTTCCGTGAAGGAAGTCATGCGGAAATCAGGGTGAAAAAACTTTTTTGAGGTAATAGGGATTTTGAAATTATTATTTTGGGTTCATGTTCTATGTGGACTTAGTGGCAGGATCAAAGCCAGTTCTTCAGTTCACACAGTTCTATAGACAGTAAATGGGATAGCAGCTTCTCAAGAAACACAAGAGGCTGAAAATATTTGTGGCTAATGTATGACGCACAGGTCACTACAGGGTTCAAATACTTTTGCTGTGAATTTGGGGGGAGAGTCAGATTCTGAGACTTCCTGGGTTTGTCGTAGTTAAATCACTCAGTGGTTGACCACGAGGCCAGCAGCTCTGCGGAGAGAGATGCGGCGGTCTGCTTCCATGAAGACGGACAGCCTTGGAAACCACTGAGGCGGTTCTGTTCTGCCCTGTAGGTTCCGCATGAGTTGGAATCAAACTATAGCAATGAGTTTTAAAGAAAATACTTACTGTAAAGTGATTTAATACAAGTTTTTTATAGTAAAAGTTAAGCAGAGATTCATGTCGTAATAGTAATGACTCAAAGCTAAAAGTATTTTGTTTTATTCTTTTACAGGAATTGAAACCTGATGTAGTAACTAAGTCTGCTCTTAGTGATGACACAAACTTTGAGAAAGTCTGCAAAAAGGTATATTTGCAGTAGATTGTATGCACTATAATATATTGTAACTTTGTCACTTGAGTTCTAGAATTCCCGAGTACTTTGTGCTAATTAATTTTGCTTTGCTGTGGTAGATCTTCAAGGCCCTTATAGGTTTGTTGAACTGAATATGACAGTTTGCATTAGACAAAAATTAGTCCATTAGCCTTACTAGTTAGAACAAGGAATCTTAGTGTTCTTTTCAAAGCATTCTCATAAATATAAATTCTTATATTCATTGTGTGAAAGATTAGGTGTATTCCCATTTTTACAACTGGAAGAAACTGAAGTGCAAACAGATTTACCTGAAATGCCATTATTATGTGGGAAAGTCTGTTTTTTAACCAGATCATCTGCTCTTGGCACTTTACAACTTCTGCTGCTTCTTTATATTTTCTTATTCTTTACCACTCACTTAGCTAACACCTACAAAATCGGATTGCATTTTAGAACAGATTTTTGATTCATTGGTTCTTTTCTGTTATTTACTTTGATGTTTTCACTTTCATTGGTTTCTACTCTCATCTCAGATATTTTCATTGTTTTGCGTGGATTTCACTTGTTCTTTGCTAGCTTCCTAATGTGGACATTTAAATTGCTGGTTTTAGACTTTATTTTGTAAATAGGCATTTAATAGTATAAATTTCTCTCTAAGCACTCTTATTGGCAACCCCATATATTGCATTTTTCTTTTCTTTGTGTGTGAAATATTTATAATGTCCTTGGGAGCATCCTATTTGACCTGTGCTTAATTTGGATGTGTGCTGAATAGGTATCTTTTGTTATTTTCTTGTTTAATTCTTTTATTATCTGGGAATACATATTTTGTGATTTCCTTTAAATATGCTAAGATTTGTGTCATGGTATTAAAAGTGGTTTACCTTGACAGAATTGTGAACGAATACTCGATGCAGCTACTAGAGTGTTGTCTGTGTTAGCTGGCAAGTTGCAGTGATGCCGGAAGCAGTGCTACTGACTGGAGCTTCCCTATCAGCAGGGTCCCATACGGTGCAGATTTCAGGCCGACGAGAAAGAACCACCTGGAGGACTGCTGGAAAAGTCGCCACTGGACCCTACGAGAAGCATCACTGCCTCCTTAACGGAGAGTCAGTTTGATGATTTGAATGAAAGAAAACTTTCAGAACTTTTATATCCTGAGGGCACGGCCCATGGCAAGACAAAGCTGCAAAAATCCATTAGTAATCAGCACATGGAATGTCCAAAGTACATAAAATTCAGATCATTTTCCAGGGGGTGTGTTTTTTAATATTTTTTCCTGTTTTGTTTTAATGTAAAAATCCATTGAGAGAACCAGGAGATGTTATGATTGATTTAATAGAAGTTTTAACTGAAGATTATACCATCTTCGAAGAGAGCACCTTTTATCACTATGAGAGAAAATAGAACAGTGATAAAATAAACAAACAAAATAATAGTTGCAAAAAGCTGTTATTATATTCATTTAATCCAGAGATGTTAGTTTGAATAATTAAAATTTTGACGAATATTTTCACTGAAATGATTGGTTTGAATAGTTATGTGTATTTGCCTTCCACAAAGTAGTATAGTTACGTGTGCCTGTGTGCACCCCTCACACACAAAGGAGCATCAAAAGTTCATAGAAAAATTCCATTATCTTTCAGTTCCAATGTTCCACAAACTTTTTGAAGCCCTCCTTGAATATTGTTTGCCGAAAACATCACAGAAAATCATTCATATATGCTTAACTTTCTATTTTCTTCTACTTCTGTAACACAGAAACAAGATATTAGAAAGTGTAATTCTTTTCCCCTCTTACTGGAAATACTTTGTATAGTCGACATTTAATTTTAAAATTTTAATTAAGCTGTGGATGATAATATAATTGAAATGACACTTTTATCAGTTGCCCTCCTAAGATTGTCACAATTCTTCTGAGCTCATTTCATGCAGTTTACCTATTTCTAATATTTTTAATAAATACATAGTTAACATGTCAATTTATATTTGTAGATAAAACCTAGAATTATAATTAAATCCTGTTTATGTTGAAAATATTGCTGTCAACAGTACCATGTAGCGTTGACCTTCTGATTTCAAAGTCAGTTTCTAGATAACTTCAAAGAAGTTAACTATTGCATGTAAGCAATATTTTTCATTTTTAGACTATTGCTTACACAGTCACAGATACATTCCCAAAATTTTATGTAAAATTGAACACCAGTGCTTTTGTATTCTCAATAAATTCCCATATTTCAAACTGAAAATTTTCCATTAAAAGATCAAGTGTTTTCCCATTTTTACTTAATTTATTTGAAATGGAAGTAGCTGGAAGTGTGTGAAAGCCCAGTTTCCTAAGAATTTTCCACAGTCAATATTGTGTCAGCTCTGAAGAAGGAAAGCTGTAGTTTTCCTCTCATCTCTTGATATTGTGAAATCTTTTTTCATGTAAAAGTAGCTTGTTCATAGAGACTGCTAATAAGCCTTTCCATTTCAAAATGTTTACTACCATTTCAGCTATAAGTAAATTTTCGTTTCTTCTCCAAGCGTACACAATATTTTTTCTCTTCCTATAAAGTTTATCACATTCTGCTTTGACTTCATTGTTTGTGTGTTCATTTTACTCTCTTAAAATTTGAGTTTACTCTCTCAAGTTTATAGTAAAACTTGTGTCTCCTAGGATACGATCTTTATGTCTTCATGGTAAACCAGGCCTCAACATGATAAAACTGAAACAAAAAACTCACTACTATTTAGTCGATGCCCACTCATAGCGACCCTGTAGGACAGAGTAGAACTGCACATGTGATTTTTAAGACTGTAACTGTTTTCAGGAGTAGAAAGCCCATATTGCTTCTTTGGAGTGACTGCTAGTATCGAATTGCCGACCTTTTGGATTGCAGCCTAGTGCATAATCACTATGCTACCTGGGCTCTCTAACACAATAAGAGCCCACTAATTATAAGGAGTGAAGGAAGAAAATAGTCAGGAGAGAATGACTGCCCCACTCATTCTTGTGATTCCTATAAGTAGCCCAATACCTAAAGCATAATACAGCAATTTTTTTACAGTTGTGCTATGAAAAGTTTCTAGGTTTAGGATACAAGATAAGGGAAGATTATCTTTACATAGTTTATAAGAAAAACGTTCAAGAATACTAGTGAATTCAGAAGCCTGGTTCTGGCAACTAGTTCCTAACTGGCTAAGTAATCTTGAAGTCAAATCTGGACTGTTCATTTAATTGTAAGCTAAAGTCTTTGCCCTATATCCTCTTTAGTTCTTGTTAAATTTGAATTGAAATTTTTAAATGAATGCTTTTAAAATTGCTTTCTTAAGAATAAAATTTAAAATATTTGACATGTAAATATTTATACTTAGAAGTAAAAAAAGTGTACTTAATTGCTTCTTTTAAATTGTCAGATCTGTTTATTTTTAACTAATACTTTCTGTTCTGATTCTTTTAATCCAGCATTTTAAGATCTTCATTAAAGCATTGTTTGCTTTAATTTTTTTAAGAAATGGAACAGTAAATTCTTAGTATTTATAAAGAAAGTAATGAGCATGTATATCAATAATAGTTTTTCCATTTACACAGTTTTTCTATTAGAATATTTATCTTCTTCCAAAAGTGTAAACTACTTAGATTTGCAAATCGGAACAGAACATCAAGTACAAATAGGAATGCTTTCAAACCATGTAGCT